TATGTTCCTATCTGACTTTCTAATCCTTGGCTAAACCCTGGCACTCCTTTGCCTCAACTCCACATGGAATCTGTGTGGCTCCCCTAAGGGGTCAACTGGCCTTGCTCTCAGCTCAACTTGGCTGGCAAAGGAATACACTTGTTGCTAGTCTAAAAGAATTTCTTTTATCTAGGCCATACTACTTAACCAAGAGCACCAGAAAAAAGAAAAAAAAGGAAAAAAAAAGAGGAGGAAACCCCTCAAAGAGATCGATTGATTGGAGCAATGGTCGTCAGCACTGCAGAGACCATGAGGATGGTCCAGGACCAGACAAGGTCTCCTCATTGTACATGGGGTAACAATGAGTTGGAGAAGATACAGTGGCACACAACAATGGGTTCCTACTAAAGAATAGTTCCAAATACTGTTGTTTAATTCTTCAGAATTGAGTCCTAGAAGACAAAAATTTCAAGGTAAAATATTTTTGAAGAATTGTCAGGAAAGCACCTTTTCCTCGATGTATCTTGTATTTCATCCATGGACAGGTGATGGGAGTTGAAAGTACTTGAGCCACACTGTTCTGAAATTATGCTGTTAGGCTATCTGCACTACTGGACTTTGAGAAACATTTCCATAAAAGTGGTGCTATAGCTGGTTCCTCTCCGGCCTTCGTGTAGAAGGGCTATGCTGATGAATTAGAGTCATCTCAGTCCGAGTCTGTCCCCTTTTTCTCCCTATGCAAAAGAGGAGAGTTGAAGCCACATTGTGCTTAGCAAGATGCAGGGTCAGCGAAGGACAGGAAGACCCTCAACAAGACAGACTGACACTGTGACTTCAGCAATGGACTCTAGTATCTGAGATGATGAGGATGGCACAGGATAGGACAGGGTTCAGAATGGCTGTTCATAGAGTCGCTATGAGTTGTACGCCACTTGATAACACCTAACAACAAGCATTATTTAGCCCCTCTGCTGTGAACTAGCATAAAATAGTCACCTTGGAACTAGGAGTTTGACGCTTAAGGGAAAGCACGTTAATTTTCATTTCATTTCTTCTGAAATTAAGAATATTCTTAGAAATACTAGACTGACCTACACTGGATAGTGTTGATGCCTTTTTTTTTAATCTCATTTGATGTTTTTTCATTTGTAATTGGATTGTTTATTTGCCTGTTGCTTGACTTTTTCTTTCAGAGTCTGCATATTTTTAAAATGCCTTTGTCAAGATACATGTTTTTTAAGTATTTTCTCTCAATCTGCAGGTTTTCTTTTTCTTCTCTTAATGGTGTCTTGTGTAGAAAGAAAGTTTTTCATTTTAACGAAGCCAAGTTACCATTTTTTTCCTTTTATGAATCATGCTTTCAGTGTTCTTAAAAAGGCCATAGATTTTGTCTTGTTATCTTCTAGAAATTGTGTATTTTTGCACCTTCACTTAGGTCTACTATAAATTAATTTTGAGTTAATTTTTGTGAAAGATGTAAGCATGGAATCCATATTCTGGGTTTGTTGTCATTTGGGGTTTTTTTTAGTTGAAGGAAGAAGTATGTGACTGTACAGCTGTATTAGCATCACTTTTTAAAGATCATCCTTTTTTCCACAGACTCATCTCTGTTCTCTTGCTAAATATCAGTCTATAACATCTGGGTAAGTTAATTTAACATTTAAAAACAAAAACCAAATATATTGTTCTTATAGTTAGGTGCTGTTGAGTTGAGTATAACCTATAGCAACCTCAGGAACAACTGATATGAACCCCATCCTAACCTATGCCATCCTCATACTTCCTGGCACATTAGAGTCTACAGCAGCAGTCACCATGTCAATACACCCTCCTCTTCTTCACTGACCTTTCTGAGCATCATGTCCCTCTCCAAGGAAAAGCTCCTCCTTGCAAGATGACTGAAATATGTGAGGCAAAGCTTCATCATCTTAGCCTCCAAAGAGCACTCTGGCTGAATCATCTCCAAGATATATTCATTTGTTCTTTTGGCCTTCCATGAGTTAGGCACTATTCTCCAACACCACAGCTCAAAGGCATAAATTCACCTTCTGTCATTCTCATTCATTGTCCAGATCTCAGATGCATAGCAAGTGACTGGAAAGACCATGGTCTGAATCAGAAGCACCTTAGTCCTCAAACTGATATCATTACTCCTCAATAATTTGGAGAGGTCCCTAACTGCAGACTTTTCCACTACAGTAAGTCTCCTGATTCCTGACTGCTGCTGGTCCAAGGGTGTTAATTGTGGGTTCAAGTAAGCTGAAATTGTTGACAGTTTCAATCTTTTCTCCATCTATCATGGCACTGCCTGTCAGTTCAGTAGTATATTTTCTTGACAGTGTAATACAATCCACATTGAAGATTGTATTCTTTTATCTTCAGAAACAAGTGCTTCAAATCCTCCTTCATTTCAGCAAGCAAGGTTGTGTCATCTGTATAACACAGGTTATTGATGAGTCTCCCTCTGATCCTGATGCCACATTCCTCTTCAGAGAGTCCACCTTCTCAAATAATTTGCTCAGCATGAAGACTGATTAGGTATGGAGAAAGAATACAATCCTGACACACTTCCTTCTTAATTTTAAACCATGTATGTTCCCCTACTCTGTTTGCACAACAGCCTCCTAGCAGGTCTAGGAGTTAATAGCTTCAGCATGAGCACAATTGAGTGCTCTGAGATTCCCATTCTTCTCAATGTCAGCCACAATTTGTTATGATCCACACAGCCATACGTCTTTGCACAGTCAATAAAGCATAAATAGACATTCTTCTGGTATTCTTTACTTTCAATCAGGATCCATCTGACATCAGCAGTGATATCCCTGGTGTCATGGCCTCTTCTAATTCTTGTTTGAATTTCTTGAAGTTCCCTGTACATGTATGGGTTCCAGCCACTTTTTAATGATCATCAGCAGTATTTTGCTCACGTGTGATATTAACAATATTGTTCCATGGTTTCTACAATCTGATGGATCACCTTTCTTGGGAATGGGAACAAAGATAGAACTCTTCCAATCCATTTGCCAGACAGCTGTCCTCTAACTTTCCTGGCCTAGACTAATGAGTACATCCAGGTCTGCGTCTGTTAATTGAAACAAGTCAGTTGGTATCCCATTAATTCCTGGGGCCTTATCTTTGGCCAATGACCTCAATGCAGCTTCCACTTCCTCCTTCATTACCTGTGGTTCCTGGTCATATAGTTGTTGTTGTTGTTATGTGCCATCGAGTCTTCTGCAACTCATAACAACCTTATGTAGAACAGCCCTAAACCTTGCTCTATCCCTTGCCAATCTTTCTGTCTCCAACATAGCTATCTCTATTACCTCAGTGACCGATCAATCTATCTCATCAGGGGTCTTCCTCTCCTGCGCTGTCCCTCCACTCTCCCAAGCATGACGTCTCTCTCCAAGGACTGATACTGCCTTATAACATGTCCAAAGTATGTCAGATGGCGCTTCAGAATCCTTGCCTCCAAGGAGCAGCCTGGTCTCACCCTTTCTAGGACAAACTTGTTCTCCATGGTATATTCCGTACTCTTCTCCAGCACCACAGCTCAAAGGCATCAGCTCTTCTTCTATCATCCCTAGTCATTATCCAGCTCTCTGATGCATAGCAGGTAATTGCAAAGACCATGGCCTGCATCAGGCACACCTTACTTTCTGAAATTTTTCCAGTGTCAGTCAATTCTTTTTTGTTCAGTGACTCTATATAGTCCCTCCATTTTCCTTTGATGCTTTCTGGGTCATTCAGTATATTGCCCATAGCATCTTCCAATATTACAACTCAAGACTTAAATCTGTCTTTCAGATCTCTCAGCTTGGAAAGTGCAGAATTGTTTCCTTTGTATTCTCCAATTCCAGCTCTCTGCACATTCCATTATAATACTTTGCTTTGTCTTCTTCTGTTTTGGCTTCTCAACACTCTAAGGCAATTTTTAGAGTCTATTCTGAAACCCATTTAGTTTTTTTTCTTTCTCCTTGTTTTTGTAATGACCTTTTGCTCTCTTCGATCACTGGTGTTCCATGCTTTAAATTCAGATGAAATAGATTCAAGTTCATATCTTTATTCTCATGGACTTTCATTTTCTTTGGCCTCAGTTTGAACTTGTACTTGAGTAACTGATGGTCTGATACACAGTCCATACCTGGTCTAGTTTTTATTGCTGATATTGAGCTTCTCCAGTAATTTCTTCAACAGATGTGGTCAGTTTGATTCCTATGCAGCTCATCAGGTGAGGTGATGTGTAAAGTCACTATTTGTGTCTTTTAAAAAAGGTTATTTCCAAAATCTCTGTAGATGTTCATTGAAATTAAAAATAAATGAATTAATTAAAAAGGTATTTGCAATGAATAAATCATTGAAAAACTGGATAAATTATATATATGGCATTGAAACAGATGAGAGAGAGAACAGTTTAAAAGTGATATATCATAGGTATTATGGTTATCACAAGAGTCCAGAATTAAGGTTGCATAGTGGAGTGTACTCGGGGGGGGGGGGAGGCGAGGGGATTGTATACCAATGAAGGAATTTTTCTTTTACGAAGGAATTTTTCTTTTACTTTTCAAAGAGAGGAGTGAACTAGGTGGGGAGGGGTGGGCAGGGAGAAAAGTGCAACAATGAATGAATGGAAATCCAAAATCTCTGTAAATGTTCATTAAAAGAAAATACAAAATTCAATCCCTCTATTTCTTTTTTTTTCAATCCCTCTATTTCTATTTTCATTTCTACATAGTAAAGAATAATAATAAGAGAACACCTTATTTTGAATTTAAGTTAGTACACTTAGCAGTGATATAGCCAAATTATACAACCAGAAAGTGACAAAGGTGGACTAGAATCCAAGTCAGCTGGTGTAGAGCTAAGTAACATTTCTATTTTTCAATGAGGATGCAATTATTTTCCATTCAATTTGTTTTAAGCAGAATGCTGGTGTGCCTGGGAGGAAAATTCCCCTTATTCAAAGATTCTCATGTATTTATTTTTAACAAACATTTCTGTGCAAACAAACATCAACATACCCTTTTGCGGAGTTTTTCTGCAGCATCAAGTTCAGCTTTAATAGTCTTATCAAATTTATTTAAAAGTTTAGGCTTCTTCTTCTTAACTGCAAAGAAAAAAGAAAAAAAAAACCAACCAAACTTTTTGCTTGCTTATCTTGCTGGTTTTGTCCAGAAATTGTTAAGAATAGTGATTTATTGGTAGTGAGAAATTTCTCATGGGTCTCAAATAAACAACTGTGAGAACCACATACTCTCCTCTCACCTGCTGTGTTCCCTCACCTCCAGGCAAGACTTCAGCAACTGCCCAAGTTGAGGAGATTACTGAGTCCAACAGTGTTCCTGGAAGACTGAGTAGACAATAAAAAACTCAAACTAATTGCTGTCAAGTTGGAACCAAGTTACAGGTGAACCTCCAACAGGTTTTCAGGAGCTGTAAATCACATAGGAGGAGATTCCCATCTTTCTCCTGCAGAGTAGCTCGTGAATTTGAACTGCCCAAGAGGTGCTGCCTTTGAATTAGCAGTGCAACTCTGTACAGATTATGCTACTGGAAATCCCTGGGTGGACTGTGTGCTTGTGTGTGTGTGTGTGTGTGTGTGTGTGTGTACCACAGAGTCAGTACTGACTCATAGCTGCTAATCACATGGAAGAAGACTGTCCATCCTCCTCCCACAGAGCAGTTGGTAGATTCAAACTGTGTGCCTTTGGGATTGCAATGCAGCTTCTTGACACTAGGTCACCAGAACATTCTGAAATTCTCAGGGCTATTGGCTTAATTTAAAAAATGACTGTGGTAGGTAAGATTTCTAAGCTTTCATGATTTCTTTCATGACCAACTTAAAAAAAAGCTTCAAATAATTTCTTAATATGTCTATAATTTTTCTGATATTGATGGGGGGGGAAAGCAGCTACTATCAAGGAGCGGGGGGGAAGCAAATATTGTCCTAATTCAATTCCAACTTACAGTGATGATCCATCAGATTTCTGAGAAATTTCTTTATGATCAAGGACGGCTCAATTTTTTCCGCAAGGAATGGCTGGTAGATTTGAACTACTGACCTTTAGGTTAGTAGCTTGCTATGTTAACACACTATGCCACCCGAACTCTTTCTCCTATTTAAGGAAACCAAGTAAAATGGACTCTATGTCAATAAAGTCTTTTTTATTTTCTTTTAGTATTATGATGGGCAATCTCCTCCTGTACAATTAACTGCCTCTGAAAACCCACTGGTGGATCAGATATGGGTAAGTTTCGATTCTATGGTACATAACAACATTATGAACTTGGAGAAAAGACAATAGTTACAGAACAACTAAAGTCTTTTGCTTATAGGGTCAATATTAGATGGCACTTAACAACATATAATGCCAAACCCTTGTCTTTAATTTTGGACTTAGATGAAGCTGTTGGACTCTGTATTATGGTGTTCTTGTTTTGGTTGAGGATCTGTGTGGATTGTTCCGTTGTTTTTACTTAAGCCTCTTGTTTAGAGTCAACAAGTGTCCAGAATGACACTTGTATTTAAGGCCAAGCCCTTATCTCCATTTTGGAGACTGAGTGAAGCAACTGAACTCTGTAAAATGGGCTCACTTGTTTCAGTTGAGGGTCATTGTGGAATGTTCAGTATGTAAGCCTCTTGTTTAGAGTCAAAAAGACTTCTTGGAGGAACCTTATATTTAAAAGTTGGGCTCAAGAGATTATATTTTAATCCCTTGTTATTGTATTTTGGAGGAACATTCTTATAAGTCATACAGCACTGTTCTGTCAATTTGCTATGCTGAGGTAATCTGGGTTTGCTATGATGCTGAACCTTGTACCAATGGGGTCTCCAATGCCATAATGACTGCCATGGTAGACAGTGTTTGGTGGCGCTCTCAGTTTTAAGACAGGTTTGGAAGCAGGAGTGGCATCCAATTCCTAAACCACATGCCTCTGGAAACTCTCTATGAACTTGGACAAATGATAGTTATAGAAAGGCCTCAGGTCTTTTGTTCATAGAGTCGCTATGAGTCATGCACAACTTGACAGCAATCAACTACAACAATAATAACATTATGTGCTTGGCTTAGAACAAGACCCTGGATAACAATTCCCCAAAGCTGTGAGCCGGCAGGGCCCACTAGTGCAGGAGTGGACAAGTGCTCAGGAGGCCACAGTATGTCATCCTGCCTAAGAGATCAAGAGAGGAACAAAAGGGTGGACCTTGAGGGAAGTAATGGTGTTCCAAAGAGCAAGGGGACAGAGGACAGGAAAAAGGAGGTAATAGTTAATGGAAGGAAATGAGGTGTGAGGAAATTTTCCTCCATTTCCTGACATAAATCTACAAACTTAACTGCTTCTACCCTATCTTGCCACTAAAGAAGGGATTATGTCTGCTGCCTGCACACACATCTATGTTCTGCTTTCTGCACCTTTGAATGAGGCACCTTCCTGTGCCCTCACCAGCTTAAAACCACCAAGACTCTGTCATCTTAAAACAACCAAGACAAACCCTCAGCCTATCCTCCACTATCCACCATGTTCCCTCTCTGTGTCCCACAATAGTGCCTTCTCTTTATGACTTCACCCTTGTCCTTTAGCCCACAGCACTCAGCCATGGCCCACCACAAGGGTCAGTACAAGACTTCCTGAGGAAAGATGAGCTTAGGGGTCATGGATCCAAGTACAGGGGTCTGAGACCCAACTCCCTCAAGTCCAAGCTTTGTGACCTTAAACCAAAGGTATTAACTTTTCTGAATCTGACACTCCCATGTATAAAATGGGAATGGGTTACTGGATATTGTGTGTGAAGGTACCTGACAGGCAGTAAGTTATCCCCACAGGATAACTAAAGACAGCTCTTGTCTCCAGGAAGTTCATTTTCATGCTCATCTTACAGACTCCCCTGCAGCATGGACAGCTCACGGCATCCTCTTTGCTATGCTAACCCTTCCCCGTAGGTCTCACAGTGCCCAGGCATTGCTCCTCTCTCTCACCATCTCTCTCCTCAGAGGGCCTGTCACTGCTGAATGCAGAGATGTGACTTTTTTAGGGGTTTAATGTCCAGCCCTTAACAATGCTTTGTGGTTGTTGTTATGTGCCGTGGAGTCACCTTTATATAGTGACCCTATGTAAAACAGCCTTAAACCCTGCTCTATCCTGTGCTAACCTTATTGTCTCTGACACACTTATTCCCCTTATCCCAGTCACTGAATCAATCCATCTCATTAAGGGTCTTCCTCTCTCATGCTGTCCCTCCAAACTCCCAAGCAAGCCCTCCCTCTCCAGGCCTGGTCCCTCCTTGCAACATGTCCAAAATATGTCAGACGAAGCTTCAGAATGCTTGCCTCCAAGGAACAGTCTGGTCTCATCCTCTCTAGGTACTCAATTTTCAAGATGCACAACTACAAATTAACCAGTCGATTTGCTCCTAGTGTAGAACTGTCTTGTAGTCTAGCTGCCTACTAATAATTAGTTGATGCCTCAAATTTAGTAAATCAGAAATATAATTATTTATTCATCACAAACCTATCCTATTCCATATTTATCCTACTTCAAAGAATGGCTCCCTTCAGCTCCCTCCCTCCCTCCTTGAGTCAGAAATGACCCTGCTGACCCTCCGGTGGGTTTCCAAGGCTGTAAACAGCATAGGAGGCGCTGGTGGATGAAAACTACCAGAGTGGTGCAGCCTTTGGATTGCCTGTACCAAGCTCTGTGGACTGAGTCACCAAATCTCCTCCCTCACTGACCTAGGTGTTAGACATCTGGTTGGGGAAGGATGATACGGAATCATCCAGAAGAGTATAGAAGGGAATAGGCACTAATTAGTTAATTAATTAACTAATCAATTAGGTATTTACTCTGTGTATTTGACCTGAACCACCTTTTATCATCCCAGTTTCTTGGACATAGTGAATTTTAACTTCACAGATAAGGCCACTGAGTTTCCACAAGGGTTAGAATCTTGAAACTCTCCTCTGTCACTCTCAAGGAAGAGAGGAAACACTCGCTATTCCCTCCCATGATTGTCAAGAATAAAAGTTTCCAAAAACTCATTGGGCTTTTACTTCTCATGTCCCACACTACCTCCATCTCATTTTCTTCAGGGCTTGAAGTGTAGCTTTTAAAAGGACCACTGAGATGAGAGAAGAAGCAAACTTGGGCAGTTCAGTCCCACCTCATTCTCAACCCTAATTGGATCTTCGCATCTCCAGTCCCACAGGGAGAGACCTCCCACATGGGGGACCTAGGGTGGTCCTGGGCTGCCTGCTGTGGACAGGGAGCCCCAATACTAACAGCTGACTATTCCTGTTCTTCTAAGCCTCATCCTTCCATTTACCTATTATCAGTATGGAACTGACACTTTATGGTTTACATTTTCTTCAATGTTTATTCACCGAAACGTTTTTATATGCTGTTACTTATTTATTCCAATTTCTCTTCCTTCAACTATTGAAAATGTCTATGTCTGAACCACAGACACTGTCAATGATTTCTTCTTGCTTGGATAAACAATCAATATCCTTTGTACCAGCAGTCAGGAAATCAGAAGACATATTGCATTGGACAAGTCTGCTGTCAAGGACCTCTCCAAAATGCTGAAGAGCAATAATGTCAGTCTGAAGACTAAGATATACCTGATACAAGCCACAGTCTTCTCAATTGTATCAGAGAGCTAGACAATCAAGGATAACAGAAGAAGAATTGTTTGATGCCTTTGGGTTGTGGTGCTAGAGAAGAGTACTGAATATTCCATGGACTGCCAAAGAACAAACAGATGTTTGGTCTTGAAAAGGGTGCAGCCAGATTGTTCCTTGGAGGTAAAAATGGTGAAGTCTTTTATTCTTTGAACATGTAGCTAGGCAAGACTCTTCCTGGGCAAGAGATATCATGCTTGCAAAGATGGAGAGTCAGCAAAGGAGAGGAAAAGACCCCCAACGAGATGAACTGTCATGGTGGCTTCAGCAATGGGCTCCAGTGTGTCAGAGATGAAGACGGCACAAGATAGGGCAGGGTTTTGAGAGGGTTGCAATGAGTCATATTCAACTCCACAGAACCTAACAAAGCAGAGCCTGAAAAAACAAAAAGAGTAAATAATGGGCATTTCCAGCTGTGTTTCATTGC